ATACAACTGGTGAACGCTTTAGAAAGGATCGACAGATATGATCAATGACGAGATAGTATACCTGGGAGTCGGCAGGTCATGGGGCAACATAGGGCATACAACTGGTGAACGCTTTAGAAAGGATTGACAGATATGATCAATGACGAGATAGTATACATGTACTTGTTTTAATGTATCAGCTCTTTGTCGTTAAAGACGACGTTTTTGTGTGTATCAGTACCGCTTCATAACATATCAAATTACTACATGAATAAAAGTAGGTGGCGAGGGAGTCCTATTCATGAACTTGTCTTTCAAGGAGGGATGTACATGAATAAAAGTATAGATTCAAATATTACCTGATATACAAAACCTTTAAAAAGATAGATAAAAAAGTAAAACGAGTAGTAAACATTGATATGATAACTACATTCTGCTGATTTAGGCATGTCGAAGATTATGTTTTAAGTCAAATAGATGCAACTGTGACAATTCGCTAACTTTCGACAAATAATTGTAAGGACTCTTGGAGTCAAAAAGAGTCCAGTGTGCATTTCCGACTATATCATAAACATGTGTTTATGAATCTCTGTCAAGTAGTGATGATACCAGGTGTTCGCGAAAGGTGAGAGGATCCTGTCCCAACGTTGGCACCCTCCACAAACACATGCAAAGGAAAGTCAAGTGTTCATCTAAACAAACACGGGAACATGCAGTCATTTTGGGCGAATGAGGTATTGGTGGCCTAACGGGCCGAAATTCTCTGTGCAGAGTTCATCTTGCGTCCCTTGGGCACGCCATAAAATCTATGTCAGTGATCTTGGGTTCGAATCCCGGTTCGCCCAGATTGTGTTTATAGGCCTGTCAGCACTCGTGGTTTGAAAAAAAGTGGTAAACGAACTACAGACATACTTCGGGCTTTCCTTCCACATTGATACGTCGTGATATAACTGGAGTAATGTTCAAAGCGGCGGTAAACCCAACTCACTCACCAAGATATAAATTGACCTCAGTGGTATTTCCGTGGTAGTGTGTGTGTGTGTGGGGGGGGGGGGTCCACTGGTTTTCTGGATGTGTCCATTTCAACATTAGCATTTAGACTGCATCTACGCATTATCTTAAGTTTCTTTAAACTGAAATGTCCTCAATGTGAATGTGCCAATAAGCTTAGTGAATGATTAAGCCTTCCACTAATTGTTATGATGCAGAATTATAGTTATGATTTTAATTCTCACAAAATGTCAAATTGTAGATTAAAAGTTTAACAAACATGCCGCAATAAATCTGACTTCATCGTAAAACATTCTAAACCATCTGTATAGTATAGATACGTACATGAATAACACTGACATTAAAAGCTAAGAAATTAGATTAAAGTTTTGAAGTGTTCCTGTTTTAGAAAGCCGGTCTGAGCACATGGTATGGCTTTACAATGTGCTTTAAATTTCTCCTGCCCTTCTAGCAGTAAACGGCACCACTAGAGCACATGCCATGGTTACGAATCTTTATGATCTATCTCTGTGGCGTTTTCATTTCAGCATGGAGTGTAATGTACCAAAATACCGGTCTCTCCCGCCCGTATTAACCACCTGTCCGCTTGATTAATACCATTTCAAATATAGACGGCTGTGAACCCAATTAGAAGCAAACTATTTACCTTGCCAGATTCCACATTAAACTTGGAATATTGATTATTATAGACATTTAATGGATTCAAGATTTCCCACATCTTGTTTTAATCGGAAAGTACCTATTTCTGGTTGGTTGGTTGGTTTGTTGTTTAACGCCGCACTCAGCAATATTCCAGCTATATGACGGCGGTCTGTAAATAATCGAGTCTGGACCAGATAATCCAGTGATTAATATCATGAGCATCGATCCACGCAATTGGGATCAATGCCATGCATCAACCAAGTCAGCGAGCCTGACCACCCGATCCCGTTAGTCGCCTTTTACGACAAGCATAGTCCCCTTTTACGACAAGCATGGGTTGCTGAAGACCTATTCTACCCCGGAATCTTCACGGGTCACCTATTTCTGGAGCTACATATAGTTGTAGTTATACTTGTATACTGTACACTCACATATCCTCAGTTCATATGAGATATGATCCAGAGGCTATTTCATCTGTCAGCTGCAAATAGATGGGACATTTTGAAACACATTTCTGTTATTTAGTAAGTAAATGTCACATGATTCCGATGCACCTAACGATTTGAGGTTGAAAAGAGCTACGGCAAGACATGTTTGTTCATAAATAATAATAATAATATAACTTTCATTACGCAAATCACTAGTTTATAATAAACGTATTATTGTTAAGTTTGAAGCCTAATATTAATTGATCATGTATCAGTATTAGATTGATGTAATCGTGTACTATTTGTAATCACCATAAAATATTCTCTTGTTTAGATTCACGTTTAGTTCCAATAAAAGCGCCGAAAACATTTCATAATCATAATAAATCTCCACTAGTCTATTGTACGAGTGTATTATACGAATCCGACTATATTATAAGCACGTGTTTATGAATCACTACCAAATAATGATGATACCAGGTATCCTGCCCCACCATTGACACCCGTTGATCCCGCCTTACGTTGATACCGACACAGATCTAGCACTATTATAATTGAGTCGTCATAGGGATAGACTGTCATTAATGAGTAGCTCGCGATAAGGGTCATTCCCAGCACAATCCGACATACATTGGTTTTTTTCGAGGTCTCCATATATACAATAATTGAACCCTTTATACCCTTAAGCCGTTTGTCTCAGACCATTGTGAAAATAACATCCATATGATACTCAGATACTCGGAGCCAACGCTAAGCATCAATGTCTTGACCTGTCACTGCTCAGTCTGTTATTATGGTATAAAGTGCACTCGTGTCTTTCACATTCCAGTCAAAGGAAGCAGAATGGTCAATGCAAAGTCGGCGGCATTAGTCTTCTGCTCCAATTCCAAATGCCAGTGAAATAAGACCTTGTGGACTCTAGTAGCTAATTATCGTCTTGGAAAAATGGGTCACATAAAGGTGCGGATACCAGTTGGCCTCATGAAAATCGCTGTATAATCATGTAACGAAAAAATATCACTCGACTTCGAGAATGACAAGATGTGCTATCCAGTTTAAGTTGAACTCGTTAAGACTGAACAGCATAATGGGATTACGATGCCAAAAGGCTCGTTGTCTTCAGTGATTCATAAATGGGCCTTCACAACGAACTTGGTAAACTGTACATGCCATGCCCACATATAAAATATAACTGTAAAACACTTGCAAAGAAAGAATAATTTCAAATAGCGAAATTCTCTCGATATGGTTTTCAAGAAGGATTTCAAGAAGGATTATAAAGCATGTGTATGTGTGGAACGTTTATGTTTGTTTATCTCGTTTTGTTGTGGTTTACATTAAAAAAGGCACATTCAAATTATCAGTATGCATAATTGAATCGACATCCGCGGATCCACCACAACTCTTAAGGGATCCCAAAACGAATATCCGTATTTCCCATGACTGCTACTTTCCGGTCTATGCTCTTTCCACTTTGTCCACACCATTTTCGAGCCCTGGAACAACGTCTACAGGGAGACGACGATTCAGACACTCATGAAACATGAATAGATATACGGCAATGTATATGATAAACGAGAAATGATTTTTATTTCATTTGGAAAATGTAAGTTGTAATTCTCGTCTAGTCCATTTTTGTTGAATACGAAAATGTTTGAAACAGAACATGTCTATCATTGGTTCCACGCATTTTTTAATGTTGCGAAACATATTTTTTGAGAACAGACACGTACAAAGCAAGCATACATTAGGGCGAAGAGGACAATTTAACCCACAAATAATCCAGAAATGAATGTTTATCGGATTGTCCTTGTAAACCGCAGAGGCTGATGATGACACTTTACATTAGACCTGCGTTGATAGTCGCCAAGATAGACCTTATTCACTTCGTTTCGGCAAAACCTACTTTTCCATTACTTCAACCTGCTCTGGTGTTTCTGTATACACTAGCTGCATGCAGTTTCCTGTGCCTTGTATACTTTATCAGCTCGAGATACCGCGCGTGTAACCTTAGATGATACACAGACTTTTCTTATCCAGTCGCTGATTTCCCAGGAGCGTAACTCAAGGGTTAAAATGCGTTGAAATAATGAGCTTACTCTGACACTCTGACACTTCAAGAATGCAACCTAACACAAGAAAATTTAGCATAAACGTGAACAGAGATTCCATTTGCTTCTGACAAAGTTTATACGTAGATTGATATGTATATAATAGAGGCAACAGTTCTTATGAGTACGAGGATGGTGAGAGAACCTTTGTATTGATACTGGATCAGAGCCCATTGGTAATTTAAACAAGGAGTTATTTCAATTCACCAAAGGGAATTATACTCCTTTGTATAGACCATGACGTTGTTCCATTATATGATACCGACAGACCAACTCCATAGTGTTATGGATAGAGCGGAAGGTCGATCCCCTGCCCGCGCCATACTAAAAGAAGTTAAAAGGTGGTACTTGATGTTACCCTGCCTGCCGCTCGCTTTTTACAATTCGCCAAATCAGAATAAACCGGCTGACTTGGGAATTATCAATATTAAACTGAGGCGTGCGGCGTGCTATTTCAGAAGGCTAGGATTATAGAACTGTACAAGTACAACAGTCCGAAATACGAGCATTGACCGAGACGTTGATACCAAAGTTCCCATCACTTCACACTGGCAGTCCATTCAAAACACAACCGTTTATCGATATATGGAATGCATCAATATGGTCACGTTACATCGAATTTCATTTATTCTATTTCCTTACTCTTCATACTGTTACAATTATATATTTATATGTACACAAGGATATTGATCAAGATTAAGTTCCGTTTTTTCACCTCAACCATTTTTTCTCACATAATTCCATCAAGTCAATATATATCCTTAGCCAGAACCTATGCTTGACACACAAACGATAACTGGCACCCCAGTGTTATTGAATCATCACTCACCTTTTTTTTCGCAGCGGCCAACTGTAATCGGCGTTTGTTCCCCTCGTCGCTTTTGAAGTTCTTTACCCAGATGTTGTAGCCGATTTTGGAGTATGAAAATATCAGAATCACAAGGGGTCCAAAATATTGTAATACCATCAATGCCACACTGTATGTATATTTCTTTGAATGATCTTCCCACACCTCAAAACACTGCCCACTTGTATTTGAATAGTAAACGAGTTTTGAATTCAAGAATATAGGTAGCGGTATCGCCAACGATACAGTCCAAATTGCCGTTATCACAAAGACTGTTTTTCTCGGTGTGATTCTTTTAAGGAAAGGGTGCACTATCACAATATAACGATCCAGGCTCATGGCAACAAGCGTGTAAGAACTGAGCACCACAGTCACTCCCTGTATATATTGAAGCACCGGGCACATTACAGCAGGAAATGGCCAGTAGTTTTTCAAATTAACAGCAGCAGTGAAAGGTATGCAAAACACCGCTAACAGTAAATCACTGACCGCCAAATTAACAATGAAATAGTTAGGAACTGTGTGCATCCGCTTGTAAGCAAAAACTAAGTAGCAAACAACACCGTTCCCACCAATTGCTGTGATAGTAATAATCGAGTACATTATGATGAGAATGATCTCCATATACTCCGAGATTTTCCAAGGAAACTGATCTTGTAGGTCTGTATCGTTCATTCTTTATTACTCCTTAGCGGTTCAATGAATAATGGGTCCCAAGAGCCGAGAATAATGTCCATCTCCCTGACTCTACCTCAGCCGTAGAGAGTCGGCTTGCCTCTGGCTTCTATCGCTGCCGCTTACACCTGCGCCAGGATCAGTCAATAATGTTACCACAGTCCTCCGCTTGGAAAACCCACTGGGCCGATTCGCTAACAGATATACGTGACTCTTCCTTATCAAGGGGTATCCATTGTGCCCTGGGTATCGAAACGACAGACGGGACTTCCAGCGACTGTGTTCTTTATACAGTGCCTTTCAGTGTATGTTTCCTTTCATGACGGCTCGTAGTCGCAAGGAAGTCGTAATTGCCAGATTAAGGCTCGGTGTCTGTTGATGTACATTAAGATATGAGGGACGTTCAACGTGTCAAGAGAATGGAATGTTGAAAAAGAGTTCCAAGTGCAAAATTAAAAGTACATATCGACAAAAAGTAATAATGTTATCTTTCCAAAGTTCAAAAACGTATTTTAATGTGTATCAGTGAAGGCATAGAGGAATATATAAACGGATATAAAATTCATGTTACATCGATCTTCTTCATCGCTCACGAGGTGAGGTGAAATGAGGTTTATTTAACGTCGCGCTCAAGATTATTGCACTTATATGGCGACGTGCATGCACGTGCTTGTGTGTTAGTGTGTTCTTGTACATGTTCTAGTCCGGATAGTCTGTCTTACAGACCCTGATACAAATATATATCAAATACAGCCCATGCAAGTCTATAATGTTTGGCAAGTCTAGATCACTTCTGCTGAAAATGAAGAGAGTCACTGGGCTCCTTTTTATTATATTTTTATTAAGATAACTGAACAACTGTTTTTTTTATGTACGATATGTTCATTTCAGAGACTAGATTTTAGTCTATAGTCCGGACTAATGCCAGCTCACTGAGATACCATGCCGCAGTTTATCATGAATACCCCACTCAGACACAGTATATACTGAATCCGAGCCAACGAGTCGTCGTTTTATCCCTTTGATGCTGAGCGCCAGGCAGGGTAACAACAAGTACAATATTTTAACGTATTTTGGTTTGACATGGATCGAACCCACGACCTTCCACTCTGGACAGACGCTCTATCCACTAGACAAGGCGGTCCCCGATATTGTGACAAGTTCACCGAGGGGACGTTTTACCACTAGACCACCAGGGCGGTTCATCGCTTATTAATGTATGTTAATCACAGCGTAAGTCCATATTATGATGAAACAAATCGTCGAAAAGTTTTTGCTTACATAATATTTCTACTTAGTTCTCTTCTAAGTCGCTGTATCATACGCCATATCAGCCGAGTATGAAAAGAACGTCAAATTACATCTTGATAATAACAAACAGACTTTTTACAAGCAACAAAACACTTTCCATAATCATAAGAAATCACGATCCCGACTATATCAAGAGCAATTGTTTATGAATAACTATCAGATAGTGATGATACCAGCTGTTTGGGAAAAGGCGAGCGTATCCTGCCCCACCGGCTGCATTCATCACAAACACGTGAAAAGGCAGGTCAAGTCTTCACCTGAACAACCCACAAAAAGGGCACCAAATAAGTATTAGTGAATCTAAAATGCCGTTACGCCTCTAGTGTTGAAAGAGCGGCGGAGTAGCCTAGTGGTTAAAACGTTCACACCGCACTCCAAAGACACGGGCTCGATTCCCCACAAGGGTACAATGTGTGAAGCCCATTACTAGGGTCCCCGCTTGCTCACTCTAAAGCTGTGCTTACCTACCTACCCTCCCTCTCTCTCTCTCTCTCTCTCTCTGTCTCTCTCTCTCTCTCTCTCTCTCTCTCTCTCTCTCTCTCTTACAGTTATTCACTTCAAAACATAATACAAAATGTATGGTATATATATATTGGTAAACAAAGTTGTAAGTTTCTTATGCAAATGGAAATAATTATTCAATTTACCAATTCTGACATTTAGTATTATTTGTTTTCACGGCAGCGTTTCCAAGTGGTATGATCTATGTTAGCGATTTGATGCAACGCTGGTTTGACAAATGCACGTCCTATATTTTCTGACGTGATTGTTAATCAGTGTTGCTATACACCACAGGTGGTCAAGTCGATTAAAGAGCCGGAACTCGCTCAGTAGAGTTGCATCCCTTGGACGTGGCTGAATAATGAATATGGTTCTATATTTGTCAGAACCATATCCGTTCTCGCGGATTTCACCTCACTGCCCCCTCCCTCATACAGTTGAAGAGGACATATAATGAAGTGGGATAGCTTGCGGTAGCCTGAGGTTTATTTTATGTTTTTAAATTATTTCTGAAATATGACAATTTCACCCTACGAGACATGACGTTTCCATTGCTTTATAACAACATAAACACATTTATGATAAAGTTACTAAGTTTTAAGATACATCACTGATGAAGTAGATGGCATGGCATTATATCATTTTCATATTTTGAAGCGAATTATTTAATGATAAATCATTATCCTCGTCTCACATATAGTTTTGTCAAACTATATGACATATCAATACTTTCTGTGTGGCTGGACTGATATTTGCACTTGTATGTAACTATAGTTTATGAGTAGTTGTATGTGTCAGGACTGATGTTTGCACTTGTATGTGGCTAAAAGTACATGCATGTGTATCTCTATGTGGCTGGACTGATGTTTGCACTTGTGTGTGGCTAGAGTTTATGAGTAGTTGTATGTGTCTGGACTGATGTTTGCACTTGTGTGTGGCTATAGTTTATGAGAAGTTGTATGTGTCTGGACTGATGTTTATACTTGTATGTGGCTAAACGTATGTGTACCTCTATGTGTCTGGACTGATGTTTGCATTTGTGTGTGGCTATAGTTTATGAGTAGTTGTATGTGTCTGGACTGATGTTTGCACTTGTGTGTGGCTAGAGTTTATGAGTAGTTGTATGTGTCTGGACTGATGTTTTCACGTGTATGTGGCTAAACGTATGTGTACCTCTATGTGGCTGGACTGATGTTTGCACTTGTATGTGGCTAAACGTATGTGTACCTCTATGTGTCTGGACTGATGTTTGCACTTGAATGTGGCTAAACGTATGTGTACCTCTATGTGTCTGGACTGATGTTTGCACTTGTATGTGGCTAAACGTATGTGTACCTCTATGTGGCTGGACTGATGTTTGCACTTGTATGTGGCTAAACGTATGTGTACCTCTATGTGTCTGGACTGATGTTTGCACTTGAATGTGGCTAAACGTATGTGTACCTCTATGTGGCTGGACTGATGTTTGCACTTGTATGTGGCTAAACGTATGTGTACCTCTATGTGTCTGGACTGATGTTTGCACTTGTATGTGGCTAAACGTATGTGTACCTCTATGTGGCTGGACTGATGTTTGCACTTGTATGTGTATACTTTTTTTATGTGTCTATTCTTATGAACATCTGAGCAAATGTTTGTGACTAAACTTATTTGCACGTTTATTTACAATAACGTCAATATTTACATATAACAATGCTAATATTTGTCACTTTATTTTATATTGGGCGATGCATTGTTGTTACCCAGTATTAAATCTTGTACAGATTATAACATTTATCGAAAAGTATTTAAATTTTCATTCCTATATGTTTCAACTATTTGTATAGTATTCGACATACACATGGTATGCTATGGCAGAGACACATACACAAGGAGCTGTTTAATGTTTCTGTGTAAATGATTCCAGTGAACATCATGTACGTGTACCTGACTTGTCCCGCGTCAGACAACAAACAAGTCCTTTTCTATGCAATTTTTGTGAGTGGCAGGTGCTACCGGTAGGGCAGGGCATTCTTACCCTTTTCGCGATCACTGGCGTCATCACTGATTTTCAAGTATCCATTCATATCATTTAATGTTGCGTAGAATTTGTTTCGGCAAAATTCTCTGGTATTCTCTGGTGTTGACGTTTCAATTTTGTTTGTTTGTTTATTTGTTGTTTAACGCCACACTCAGCAATATTCCAGCACGATGACGGCGGTCTGTAAATAATAATAATCCAGTGATTGATATCATGAGCATCGATCCACACAATTGGGATACGATGACATGCATCAACCAAGTCAGCGAGCCTGACCACCCGATCCCGTTAGTCGCCTCTTACGACAAGCATAGTTGTAAATGTAAATGAGAACCTAGTATGTGAGCTTCATGAATACACTCAGAGACTACTGATAACCAACAAGAGAAATATATTGAACTGAACCATTAATTTGATTATGATGGAGAGGAGACACTGGTTTCTGTCTTGACCTCATCAATACAGATTCAACCTTATAAACGCACCTGAGGGAAGCTGCTTTTTAAACATAAACGTTTGCCCAAACACACCCAACATCATTTGACTGTTAGTATTCCGTACAATTTGAGAAAACTGATTTTTCGTTAATATTGTATGAAACATCACTACTCATAAAAGGCCACGAGAAAGAAATGTCAAGGTTATCAGCAGAACACAGGGGGCGGGGGTTGGGGGTTGGAATGGCGTGCATTTGGCTACGCAGATCCTTATTGCATGAACACCCGGGTGCAGCAGACTGACCATTGGCAGACTACTTCTGCGATATCCTGACTACGAGGGACACAATGAACAGGCGACGAAGCGGAAGGCCACCCCACAAAGGACCGCCAGCTGTGCACATTACATCGTCAAGACGATTATCTGCTGCAGGGCTTCGGGTCTACAGTCACTACCGCGGAAACGTCAACATCGGCGAATTAGATGTCAACGGTCTCAAACTGATTGGTCGAGAACGGGTTCAACTAGTTTCATCGTGATGGTCGGATGCGAGCGTATCGGCGAAGAGGTGATCGGTTAGAATGCATCAAAGAGTGTTGCCCCATTTTCGAAGCGGTGGCGTCATGATGTAAGCAGGATTTGTAGTGGAAGAAAGACACGTCTTGTCGTCATCCTTGGAAATTTGAACACCCAACGTTACAGGGATATCACTCTGCAGCATCCAGTTGTCTTCCCTTTGTCAAAAGACAGCCACAAGGGATAAGAAAATCCAGGACTTTCCCAACATTATTAACATAACCATGTACCCGTGCTGCTTGACGTTCACACGACCCCTCATCGATAATCCATCTCTCGGATCATGCAGGGCGACATATTGTGACGAGGTCAAGATTGAAGGACTGCCCCCTTGTATTATTATGGCTTCCGTATGTTAATTGTTTAATTACCTTTAGGGTTTTAGTTACCTTTTATGCCGTAACGAAGTGACAACTTGGACCATTAGTGTATATAAAACATTTTTCCTAAACTGCAAACACTGCATCTTTCATGATGGTCTTATTATTCATGTTAGTTTAAATACTGATCCGTAACA